CAGCACACCTTGATCTCCTAATGTGTTAGTCCGTCTCGTCTCCGCTCTTTCTTTTCAGCCCCTATTTTCTCATTCACTCTAAGAGTCACTCTAACATACAGGTGAACCCTCTCATAAGTTAACAAACAGGTACTCACTGGGCTGTCCATCCCAGCAGATGGCTCTTTCTGTTGAAGAGGCTTGTTACTAGTTAAGGTTTTTATTAGCGTAAAGCTAAAGTCTCTTACTTTTCAAAAATGAGAGGTTGTGAGTGATACGGGCAGACTGTAACTCAACAAGCCATTTCACAGCTAAAGCTGCTGGCATCAGTTAAAGCTGAATTTTCATCTCACAATTGCACATTACAATGGCGACTGTAAATGATTCTTCTATTAAGTTTTTTTCAAAGGGTAGCAGTAACCAATGGCTTTATGTTTTATCACAATATAAGGAAGTTTTCAAGATTCGAGCTCAGGCAACTCGTGGTTCTAAAAAAAGTGGTCCACAAGAAGCAATTAAATTGGATAATTGGTAAGACTTTATTTTTTCATTTAATAATCTTTCTATCCCGGTCTCTTTTCTCTCTCTCTCTTACTCTGACTCTTTCTTTTTACTGGTTTTTCTTTCTTTGCTCTCTTTCTACCTCATATTATAATCTATAGTATATATATATACGATTGAGAGGCGAGTTTTACGAATATCTCTTTTTTGCTCGTGTTACTTGCCTCTCTATTTCACAGTTTTTGTTGTTGTATGTCTCTGGAGATGTAAACACTTATTTATACCGGTAAACTTTTCAATCCAAGTTGAATGTTTATTAATTTTAACCTTTTTTTATTCAATCTTTCTTTGTTTTAATTTTTACTTCTCTTTCTTTCTCTTTCTTTTTGCTTTTAGTTAGTCTTTCTTTTTTTCTTTCTTTTTCTTTTCCTTTCCTTTCCTCTCTTCTCTTCTTTCTACCCAATATAACCAACATACATACAACAAGCAAGCAACTTCAACAACCAACTAAAGCCACCATTTTCATTGAACCGATAGCAAGTCAGTCTTATGCTCTCTTTTACCATCTTTTTCCATACAAAATAGCATAAATGTAGCGTAATTTTTCTCGCTACTTTTTTATATTATTTCAATATATAATTGTTGGATCTTTCGGCTTATTACAATATTCATCTATTATGGTAAATATTTTAAAGAATAAGGAATAGATTAATTGAGTTAAATTTTTTGTATTCGTTGTATTTCTTCAGCTCTTTATATGGTAGCTTCTCTCGGTCTACTTTCCTCCCTTTGACTTTGTTTCTTGTTAGCATCCAATATTTTTTGACAGATTAACTTTTTGCGCTTTTTATTGATCAGTTGATTGAATAAAAGTTTTACTTATGTAATAATTCTTTTATTTTACAATTTATTAATTTAGTAATTAGTTACACATATATATTTAGTGACATATATTTTCTTTGTTTTATATTTTTATTCTTATCTTGAATATTATTTTTATTTCTTAGGTATCAAGAAGAATTACCAAAGATTTTAGCGGCGCGTAAAGAGCGTCAAATCCGGCATGATGAGTTGGTACAGATAACTAAATGGAAATTATGGCGAACCAAAAATCGTGCAGGTTTATTGGATCTTGTACGAATGAATACAGAAACTGCAGTTAAAGCAGTATCCACCAAAGCTTTCAAAAAATGTCCAACGAATCTCCATGGAGCTATTTCAGCATTGGTCAATTTAAAAGGGATTGGAGTTGCTACCGCATCAGGTATTTAGATATTTATTTTAGATGGTTATTATTTTTATGAAATTTTGTATGCAAATGATTTAGTTGTTTGTTGTTGTCATTCTGTAAGTAATATCTAAAAATCATTATTTAGCTAATAAGCAAAAAAAATTATTCTTACTAGATTTTAATACGGGTACTTTTTTATTTTGTCTTAGCTATTTTATGTGCTTATGCTCCAGAGATTTGTCCTTTCATGGCGGATGAATGTTTAATGTCAGTTCCAGGAATAGAAAACACCAATTATACCGTAAATGAATTTATTGCTTTCGCTGACCAAATTAAAGTCGCCTGTGACAGACTACAAGCCGAAGGTAAGTCATCTTTTCTTGTTTTATATAATTTCTTTGTTGTCATTTTTTACTCAAGCTAAGAGTAATCACACTTTACATTCCTTTCATTTCATTCATATGTAGATCCCACTGCTAAATGGACTCCACATAAAGTAGAATTAACTTTATGGACACATTATTGGATTAAAGAAATGAAACTTAACTTATTGGATAATATGCCTACTCCTGATGGAGTTGCAAATGAGAATGATAATGAAAAAGATGATGATGATTTAAAGAATGGTAATGGTGATTCTCATACAAACGGTGGAGGTGATAAAGTATTAGATGATGATTCCAATATATCTGTACCTGTATCTAATGCCTCCGAAGTAGAAGAAAAGAGTAATGATTCAACTAAAGATGATCTAGATGGAGATTCAAGATTAGGACGAAATGATAAAAATAATGGTAGCGCATATAACTGCATCGAAGATAGTAAAGATGGTTTAGGTCTATGTTCAGATGATAATTCACGACAACAGATTATAACTAATGGAGACAACAGTAATCTAAGTTACTCTAATTTAAGTTCAGATGATTTGAACAATAGTACAGCTGAAAATACAGCCGACGCACCCACCAACTCTACTATTTTAACACCAACAGCAACACCAACCCCACCGACTACAACAACAACAATCACAACAAACAATAATGGACATGTGGCCAATGGTGAAAGCTGTAATGATGATCACAATGTTGCTGATAATGGTGATACAAAAATTAGCGAAATTAAAAAGTCTGAAAATAATTCTTTAGAGGAAAATGTTATAACCGATATGGATACCCTCTCTAAAACAACAACTACTGCTACTGCTATTAAGAGACCTGTGGAGGAGATTACTAATGAAATCAAAGGAAGCGAAGATAATGGATCGTTGGAGAAGAAATCCAGAATCGAATAATTGTCAATATAGACATCTTTTTTGCTTTTCTTTATCTTTATTCTGCGTTAATCATTCGTATACATCTTCTAAATTTATTATTATCATGACTAAAATGCAAAGAAAAATATTGAAAGTAACTCCAACGTTCTCCGACATCTCAACTCAACAAAAAGAAATATTGTTTCCTCTATAATCAAACGGGAAGCTATGCTAACTCAACGGCCACTTTTTCACTAAAATCCAATGTGGTTCAAATAAATCAATTCTATTCTTAAACAAGCATCTCCACTTTAATCAACTGTCTATTTAATTACCTTTTCTAAATGATTTAGTTCTATGTTAAATATCTTTGCTTCAATAAGAATATGTATTTAAAAAAATTACATTTTGTCTACATTGTTTTCAAGTCATCAAATATTTCATCAATTTAAGCTTCTTTATTAAAGTTTATTTGAATATCAATTCCACGAATAAATTGTCATTGATGAAAATCTTTTCTTACTTTCATTCAAGCCGAATTAATTCATGAACTTTCAACAATTATAGCTAATTCAATTCATCTTTCAACCCAAGTCTCTGACTAACAATTGAAACTAGATTACTCACCTTCGTTAATGACAACTTTCTTAGACTCTCGCAGTCATAAAGGTTAATTTAGTTGACACATCGTTTTGTGAAATTTGGTGTAGATTTGTTTGTTTAAGATTAAATAAATACAAAGTTAATTATTCAGTAAATTACATTTCATAGTTAAGTTAGGGTTTATCAAAAAGAGTAACAATTTGTTTAAAATTGATTAAAAAATATGAATTAAGTTACATGAAATTTGACAAAATTTGAATTGACTAATGACTAAACTGTAATGCTGTCAGCTTATCTGGCGGGAGATGACAGTATTAAAATGTCTTGATTATCATCAACCAGAATATTAATCATCAAGCTCAGAATGTCTGATTACACAGAATAGTGACAAGGCAAAGATAAGGCAAAGGAATTCAACAATTACAGCGAACGCATTCAATCCAAGTGCGATTCCTCCTCTAAGATCATAAAAGCGACCCAAAACACGACCACATCCCTAATTAAAAGTAAAATGAAATCAAATTAGTCAAGAATTTCAAAAGTAAATTCTGAAAACACAAAGGCTAAAGATTGAATCCTTGATCATTCATTTGTTTGTCTTGAGTTAAGCAACGATTTCCATGTTGTCAGCAATTGCATTTCAATTTATTTAAACGCGTAATCAGGATTGATGGACTTATACTAACCTCTTGATTAATAAAGTTGGCTTGCTCTCGATAACATGAAACAGGAACTTCTAATCCATATCTATGGTAATCGTTGAAGTTTTCAGCTCCACAACATTTTAACTAAAATGAAAAAACAAATGTATTATCAATGGAGATCATAAGGAATTTAAAAAGTGTTTCAATTTACCTTAACCTGGATAAAATCAAGTAATTCTCGAGCTTTTTCTGAAAATGGCCTTTGTTGTATTTGGATCAAAACTTGTTGAGTTACATAGTATTCCAGCTAGAAAAGAAAATCAATTTGTAAGATTGACGAAAATTCAGGCTTACAGAAAAAGCAAATTGAATTTGCTTGATCATAATACATACTCTGTCCCCGAAACCATGAGTTGCAGCTAGGACTACACAAGCAATCGCTAGTCCAATTAAAAGAGCCATAATGAAAATGTACTGTGAAATAAAATGGACAAGTGAAAATGTTGAGCCGTAATTTGATTAAATGATATTCTTGCTTACTGAGCCCAATTTACAGGTTGAATTGGTCAGAGTTCCGATGCATCCGATAATTGATAAAATAACAATCGCCAATCCACTAAACATCATTATCCAGCCAACGTTAATGAAATTTTCCGTGTCAATGTACAGCGTTGGTTCGTACATTTTTGGATCGATACGAAACCAGAGTCCAATTCCAATCAATGTCATCCCTGTGCACTGAAGGATATCATGGAAGGATACGAAATTTTATTTAATTTCACATTTTGAATAGTCGATGAAGTTATCAAAATTAAACAATTGTATTATGTAAGTTGGTAAGGTTTGAAAGTCAGCAGTAAAAATAGACGCAGACAACCTGTGGTTTTATCAATTTCTTGAGTTGAGTAGTTTGAGTTATCCAAGATTTTAGTTGACAGTTGAACAATATTGGTTGTTAATTGAAATAATTACTTACCCAGAGAAGGAAATTGAAAAAAATGAGAAACACTTTAACGCAAGAGAAGTATTGGACAGAGTAACCCATTTCTGACGGTTCCTTGTCAGACTCCTTCTCGTTGCTGTAATCTTGTGTTTGAGACCCAATGGTGAGGCCGAGTTTATTGTGGTTGACTGTTGGTAATTAAAGGCTGGTCAATGATCAATGTTGTTAAAAGGTTGACAAAATTCGTAGATGACAAACAATAGATTTAAAAGCAATTAACAAGAAGCGACGCAAAAGTAAACTTAAGGTAAACTGGTTTACTTATTGAGACTTGATCATCAAACATAACTAAAAAAAGAGAGGGAAACAAAATAATGGGTAAATTGAAAAGAAACAATTAAAGTGCCATTTTGTAAATTAATTAAGTTATTCAAATTTAGTAGATTAAAATGGCTAATTTGAGTTTAATAAATAGATAGACATTAAGTGACCTAAACAACAAACTTGAGTCAATAGTTATTAAATCATTGTGAATGATTTACAGAAACGACTGAAATGAAAAGTCACTCCTTCAGTTAGGAGTTTTGGTTCACTTTTTTCCGGTCTCTCATAGTAATCATCATTATTATCACCATCATCCTCAAAATAAATTGTTAAATCATTGATTGACTCAGCAAAACATTTTGTCCAGTTGACATTAGATTTGATTGAAGGTAAAATCAAAATACTACATTTTCAACCTTATTGAACAAGATCATTATCCCTCAGCAATAATCTTGTTGACAAAACCTATAGAATTAGATTTAATCTGGTTTATGATCTGACTAACACAATGTGTAATGATAATTGTCAGGTAAAACCCTAATTAATTATGAATCTTTGCAAGCTCCTAATCATTAGTGCTAATAAAACCTAAGTAAAATCAACATTTTGCTTACAGAAGTCAATTGTTAAATAATTTCAATGTTTTTCAAATCATCAAGTATTATATAAATTCATTCATCAAGAGGCGAATCTACTCCAAGCTTTATTCAATCTTAAAAATACTCAATTTTTAGCAATTCAAGTCTTAAAAAACTCAAGTCTCATGACTCAAGGATTGCAAACCGTGTTACTCACTTTATTAAATCGCGACTTTATTAACTGTAATCATAAAGGTTAATTTAGTTGACGCATTGTTCTCGTGGACTTTTTTCTTCGCAAAAGCAAATAATTAGTCCATTTATGTCAAGCTTTCCCGTTCTCTTCATAATGAAAATTTGCAGGTAATTATTGAATTCGTACAAGATTCGCAACGTAAATTTAACTTTTTTATTTTTGAAAACTAAATGTATTCACAATTTAAAGATTATAACTTGTACATGACTATTAAACTGAGCATCAATGGTAATCAAAATAAGATGGTTCAGCAGATGGAGTTGTCAAAAACAGCAGCAGCGCAATGATGAAATTTGATTATGTTGAAAAAATTAATACATATGTACCATCCATTAGAAGTAGTGATTATTTGACGGAAGAAAGGATTCTTGAGCATAATTTACACATCACATTAATTGTGGTTAGGTTTCCGGCCAATCAGTATTGGCATAAGTTGACAACCGTTTAATGAGAGCACTGAGATGTCAAATAAAGATAGAAAATTAAGCGATTAATAACAGAAATATATCACATATTGGTTGAATACTAAGGTTCTATCGAGCATTTCAAAACCTCTCGAAAGATTCAATAATCATTTAAATTATTAATTAGGTGGATATTAACATAGAAAATAATAACTTACCTTTTTTGTTTACTATAGCGATCTACCAATTTTTTAAATTCATATATGTGTTGAATGAGCTTTTCATTTTCTAATTTATATTCTTCAATCCTCTTTGAGAGTTTGACACATTTAATTTCATACAATTTATCTTCAAAACTGAGCAATTCAGGGTTTGTAATACTTTCGGTTCCAGGTTCTTGTTTAATATTTTTATCCATTTCAAAAGGATCATTTAAGTTGTAGCTAAACGGCAATGAAACACAATAATCCATCAGCTTAGCAGCTTTTAATAAGATGTAAGTTAACTAAAACCAGAGAAATTAGTGGTCATTTAAAGACAGTTAATATAAACAACAATTAAAATATTAATAAAACCTAAAATGCAGTATTTCAGACAATGAGAGTCTCATCATGTCTCACATTTAGTTGCCCGCTAAATAGTGAAAATAAGCTATTACCACGAAACACTATATTTTGAGGTTAATCAAAATGTGAACAATATTTTTGAATGAAATACATTGATTTATTAAAAAAGATTCACCGACACGAAACTTTAAATTAGATTTTGCTAAATGGCCTAACAATCAATTCTGATTCAAATTATTGAAATAAGTAAATTCTGAAGTAAAGATTGGAAGCAAGGTTAGATTATCATCATCAGAAAGGAAAGAAAGAGAAAAAGTTCCTGAAATTATTGATCAAAATTTGGATGATTTAATGGTTGAATGAAAAAAATGTTTTAAAACTTGAAGATGAAGGTTTTGAGCAAATCATGAAGATAATACACAATTGTAGATAAATCAAAAACTGAAAATTCAATTTTCTATAATTGAAATTGAACGCGTTGAAAGTATTGCATTTGGTTAAATCCAATTAGTCTTGTGTCTTCATTGAGAATTGATTTTTTCTTAAAATGATGGGTATATAACAATAAAAATGGACAAGCATGGTCAATGTATAAGATGCATATATTGCATAACAATCTCTTATAAATTTTAGCTTACAATTAGATATTAATCGCGATTTTTTTACAAAAGGAGGAGAGAAAAATATAAACAGCATAGGTCCAAATATAACTCTGTCATTTGCTTTGTGTGGTTGTGTATGAATTGATGTGGTGTAATTTGTGTGTAGGTGTAAGGGTATGTACTTTATGTATGTTTTCACGAAAATTATCCGCATTTTTTCAAATTTGTCATTTAACTATGTACAGAAGCCAAAAATGGGTAATTTAATTCATCCATTTACGGCAAGTTGATGCTCCACAAAGACAAGGTATTTTAGAGGAATCATCTTCAACGTCAAAACGATAATCATAGGTTAACTGTCAAGATAAATAAAAAATGTTAATTTGTAAATCGAAATAAATCTAAATAAAATTTTTTGCTTTATGTTAAAATAGTTTTCATTAAACTCAGAATACTAACCTCTTCGCCTCTAGATATTTTACGGCTTGCAATAATAAGAATTTTGTTTTCCCTGTCGATTTGTACAATTTCAGCAACACAGTTAGGATTGCAGGAGTGATTGATGTATCTCGCCAAGCCTCCTCTTAATGTGGCATCAACAACACGATTCTCGTCCAGTCTAAACATGTAAACACCTCGACGATTCTGAAAAGTAAAAAAAAATAAGTTAAAAATATGTCACGATGAATGATAATTATATAGAAATAATTAAGTGATTAAAACTTACTTGAGTCTCATACAGTCTTTCATTTCTTTCAGCTATTTCATTTCTAATCAATTGGCCGATATATTCTATGATCATTGTATGTTTTTCAATATCTCGAGCTGCATATAAGCCAAGTCCAGCGATTCGAGATCGAGCTAAATAAACCATCTGTCTCCAGTCAGTTTTCATCTTTTTGTACTGTTGTGATTTAGAGTGGAAAAATTGTTTAATATAAGGAGATTGCTCTTCACAGCAGGCTAATGATGATTGCAATGATGATCGAGTTGCAGATCGTGTTTGTAGTGTGTGTACACGTTTGTAAGGAACTAATAATCTTGGTTCAGTTCGGGCACAGCCAGTTGGATTGATTGGTAAGGGTAATTCAAGTAAGTCTGATCGAGTATGGCGAAAATTATAATCACTAAGACTATCTACACCGGGAAATGATTCCAATATACGGCTGACTGAGGCTTCTGAAAGGCCGAAAAGATCTTCTCCTGTTATGAATTCAGTGAAAACTTTGATGATCCCCGCTTCTTCTCTGATTTTTACAATTGCGTCTAAAATATCTTTCCAAACAGATTTAGGTGAATCAGCTCTGTAAGTAACTTTTTCATATCCTTCTTCTTCAATTTCAACAACGAACTCAGGTTTTCCATCTTTTTCTTGAATTGTACAAATATATTTACACCTTTTGGTCAACTCTCTCATGCTCCAATAGAATCTATGAATTCGATAGCCGACTGGATAGATACTTGTCGGACTGTGAAAAGCAGATAGCTGGTGAGGCAGCAATTGGCCGATATTAAGAAATATAAGGCTTCCAATTCGCATCAAATGCGATCCATCAGAATGTATCATACGAGACATTTGTTTGTCTTCCTCACGTTGAACATGAACTCGACGAGGCACAGTGAAACTTTCCATCATTTCTTTCTGCTTAACACCTTTAGGTATATGTTGAGGACAAAAAATGGACTTATCCTTGAAGAACATACACTTATCACTGACAGCACAAGGGAAATGGTAAACGCTCGTACATTTTGGCCTGAAACATTTCAAAGAAGCGCCCACTCTATGACAATGGATACATTCAGTTGTTAAACCTCGGCGACAAGCTGCTTCCACATTGAATAGAAAACCTCCACAAGTTTCATATACTTCAGGTGACCATAAAACACAATTAAGATGAACCCATTTACCGACATCCATATTAAGGAGTCGAGCACTTCCATCAGTTTTACCATCACCGGCAATTTGACAAAGGACACATTTGCGGGAGTCTGGAGGTAATACTCTGGGTCGATAAGACATATCGAAATTCGTTCTGATGTGAGGATAGAATTCACTTGATTTTTCTGGTTCAGGTCTTTTGGGCTCCTCAAACAAGTTGGCTTTCCAAAGTTTATACTTTGTGCCAAACCATTGTTTAGATTGCGTCGAGGATTCAGCTGATGATGACCTGGCAATATCGTCTTCTACCCACTGTCTTCGTTTGTCATCTTTATCAGTTGCTGTGAGAGATGGAAGTTGAGAGGGTGACATAGTAGCTGATCGACTTTCTCCTTCATTGATCTCATCTTCTTCCATCATAGGACTCATCGGAGGCAAAATATCCATCGGTGTTTCATGGATAAGCTGTTCATCACTAATTGATTGGTCACCCCAATGTCCAACAACGGGGCCCGCTTCTTTATTTTCAGATTGAGATGAAGAGCCATGTGAAAGAGCAAACTTCATATAGCAATTAGTACTACAAAAAGTTATTTCTTCTTCGTCAGATTCTTCTCGTGCTGATGGTGGGAAATCAGTTAATTTCTTTTTGAAGCCAGTATTAATGACGACAACTTCACAAAAACGACAGAATTTCATATTCTCATCAAGAATACTATCCATATCACCGTCTTCTAGCTTGTTTATGGAATCTTTGCAATTTTCCATCGATTGTTCATCATTGGGACAAGGAGATGATGTTCGGCCAACAACTTCCCAATGAAGAGGGATTTTGATTTGGAGCATATCAGCAACACGAGATACAATTTGTTCAACATCATCGTTTGAAGATAATGTTAATATCACTGGAATATTTCGAGAATCGGGGGATGGCACAATAGGTGTTCTTGAGATTTGTTTCTTTTTATTCGACTCGATAGCTTCTTTGTCAAGATTCTCCTTATTTTTCTCCAAGTCGGTATCAGGATCACAAGAGGAAACCTTGCTGACGGGTGAATCATTGACTTTACTCACTGCTGGCTGAGCTGAAGATGTTATTGGCTTCAAAAGAATTGGTCTCAACAATGGTATTACTGGAGATGCTCGACTATCATCTTTCTTGTTAGATTCACTATCATCAAAAGCTGGTAAAACTCTGAACCAACAATCAGATTCCTCATATAAACAGCACTCAGGTGAACTTGAAGATATGACACTATCTGGACTGTCACAATCTCTAACGAGACGGCTATGAGAATTGGTCTGTCCAAAAATAAATTGAGATCCTTGTAAAGTATTTGGAGAGAATTCTTGACTGTAAAAACTACGTTCAGATGATCGTTTAGGTAAAGATGTTTCAATCAAGGTTGATTTTTGTACAGGTGTGACTTTTTTCAGACTTTTAGAAGAATATTGATCTTGAATATTCGGTAAATAAGCTCTACCATAAACTCCCTTTAAGCACGATTGGGTAGCATTAAGATCACCACTTCCAAAGATTGGACATACATTATGATTCGGGCTGATTTCGGGTTCCTGAATTTGAATAGGTTCTAATTTCCGCAGTTGAGTCATTAAATTAGTTATATACAGTTCATGACTTTCATCAGCTCGGTTGGATGAAGATTTTCGTGGTCGTTTCTTAGGTATAGCCCCTGGTTCACTAACTTTGGGTTCTTTTCGTTTTCCAGGCCTTTTCTTTTTAGGCTTAAGTTCTTCAGGTGGAGGTGTAGGCTCTCTTTCTAATTGCGCTTTTCTTATATCGAGAGAGGATATTTTCTTCTTTGGGTTCGCTGTCAATGAGTTAACACCATCGCTAGATTGCCCTTCTTGTGTAGTCCCATGTTCAGTTGAAGTAGAGTTCTGTTCAATAAGAGTATCATTTACAGCATAATTATCAACACCACTTCCTTGCTCAGCAAAATTTAACTGAAATGATCGTGATTCCCCAACTTCACTCGAATCAGATGCGGTGATTGTAGTCGTCGTATTAAGTATTTGCTGCTGTTGCTGCTGCTGTTGTTGTTGCTGTTGCTGATGTAATTGCTGAGATTGCTGTTGCTGCTGTTGATTCTGCAATTGCTGGCCTTGTTGGTGCTGTTGCACCGGCTGCGCTTGTGGAGACTGTTGTGGTTGTATTTGTTGGGACTGCTGTGGCTGTGTTTGTTGAGGCTGATGTTGGTGGTGTTGCGATTGCTGGGATTGCTGCTGTTGCTGCTGCGGTAGTTGCTGAGCCTGTTGTTTGAGTTGTTGCTGTTGCTGTTGCTGCTGTTGATGATGGTGATGTTGTTGGTGTTGTTGGTGTTGTTGATGCTGTTGAATCAGCATTTGCGGAGACTGTGGTTCTTGTTTAGGCTGCAATTGTTGGACTTGTAGATGCTGTGACGGCGACTGTGGTGGCATTGGCTGAGATTGCTGCTGATGTTGATGCTGCTGTTGTGGTTGCTGTTGTGGTTGCTGTTGTGGTTGCTGTTGTGGTTGCTGTTGTGGCTGTGACTGTGGCTGTGGTTGTGGCTTTGGTTGTGGCTGTGACGGCGACTGGGGTGGCATTTGCTGAGATTGGAGCTGTGGTTGCGACTGGGACTGTGGTTGAGGCTGTGGTTGTGGCTGTGACTGTGACTGTTGTTGCATTTGATGGGGAGACATTGGACCCATTTGTGGCCTTTGCATTCTATTCCAAGGCTGTTGTGGTTTACCACGAATCATTTGCTGTTGATGAAGTTGTTGTTGAGAATGCAAGTGAGGTTGAAATTGATGCATTCGAGGATCTCCAGGATGCCTGAAAACATGATAACCCGAATTTTCAACTGTTCCTGATGGGGACCATCTTCTAAACTCATCAGCTGGCATTGCTTCGTGTTGTTGTGGCTGATGTTGCTGTTGTGGCTGCGGCTGAGGCTGAGGCTGAGGCTGAGGCTGAGGCTGAGGCTGAGGCTGAGGCTGAGGCTGTGCATGTGGCTGTGTCTGTGACTGTTGTTGATGTTGTTGGTGTTGTTGCTGTTGCTGCTGCTGAAGCTGTTGCTGTTGCTTTTGCTGCTTTTGCTGCTGTTGTTGTTGCAATTGCTGTTGTTTTTTGACTGCTTCTAATTGTTTTCTAACACTCTCTCGATCAATATTGATTTTATCTAATTCAGCCTGATCGGACTCAGATAACTCACATCCATTCTTTTTTCTTGCTCGTTGGCGAGCATTAATGGTTTTCTTTGCTTTAAGCAGTCTTGCTTTCTCTGCTTCTAAACTTTTCTGGATATCAGCGAGAGTTTTTGGTTGCTGTTGATTGCCCCATTGATTATCATGGAATCTTTCACTAGGTTGTTGAACATTCATCTGAGGTGGGTTGGATGGCCCTACACTTGAACTAAAAGGATGAGGTGCTTGTGATGGATTTAAGGTTGGACTTTGTAAGTTAGAGTTTGGTGAAACCAAGCCAGTTTGACCAACTTGGATATGGTTCATGTGAGATCCACTTGGAGGTATTTGCTGCAGCGTATAAGTACCAGACATTCTAGGAGGAGCTTGAAACATCATAACAGGATGACGCTGAGCTGCATTCATTCGTGGTCCTAGAAAATGTTGCTGAGTAGCCACTCCTTGTGGAGGTGGAAGTTGATGGTGTTGAGGATGCATCTGAGGCATTCGGGGATCTTTTGTTTCACGCCAGGAATGTTGTTGCGGTACTTGGTGTCCATAAGATGGTGCAGATGGAGAAGGTGGAACATTTGGTGGCATCAATGGATTTTGCAAAAGCGGTCCCGTTGTAACTGTCGATAAAGTATCATCAGACAGAATTTCAGCTTTAAGTCTTTCAAACTCTAAATCACTTAATAGAGCATCACCTTGGCCTATAAAACTATCACCAGGTTGTGTGTTATGTTGTGTATGTTGTGGCGGCATCGAGCTAACATTAGAAATTGGTTGGCGAATTAAATTTGCACTTGATGGTACAGACTCTTCCATAGGCGAATACACATGAGATTGTGGTGTAGTGGTGGTGGGATAAGGTGGAGGGAGTGGAAATTTAACGTCATTAGTCGGAGTTCCTGGATATGGAGGGGGCGGTGGATGCATGTTGGAACTCAGCGAAGATGTATGAGGAATCACTACCAAAGAAGTATCTAGTGACTTTAATGGCTCTTGTTTGATTAAAGTTCCACTAATTGATACACTCGTATCATTTGAGGCCTTTTTGTTCTCCGATTCCTTTTCGTGTGGATCAAATTTGCCTAACCCTTTATGCTCTTCGTTGTCCACTTTCGCCTTCTCACCATCCTCGTCTTTATCACAGATTTCATCAAAATGCGCATCAAGAATATTATTTTTACTTCCAGTTGCTCCATCAAGCATTTGATGAAGTTCTGGATCAGCATACTCTAATATATTAAAATCGTTGCCTAAGCCCAATAATTCATCATCATCTAGATCATCTGGGGTGGCATCTTCTTCATTCAAAACAGATTCTTGCACATGTTTGACTAGCTCAATTGAAAATGGAGTTTTAACATCTTCCTCTGGTTTAGAGGGGGATTTGATGATGTGCGAGTCACTCTGACTTGTGGTAGCAACAGTAGTTTGAGCTCCAACAACTTTTTCAATAGACTCGACCTCTTCAGGATTGGTACTGATATTGGCACTGTTTTGAGATTGCTGATTAAGAGATGAGACGGTTGCTTGATTTGAAGCAAATTGAGGACTCGAAGCTGGTTTTCCAGGAGAAGGGGCCAAGTTACTGTTAGGCTGGATGAAAGGTGAGACGGCCTGCTGGATTGAAGCAA